GAAAATCGAGGAGGAGGAGGAGGATGAGAAAAAGAAGAAGTATAAAGAGTTCCCGATTCGACGTAGCAAACGACTTATAGAGAATAATGAAGAAAAATAATTGTGTAGAAATTGAGAAGAAGAATGAGATAAAAAGTTGTTTTGAATATTGATTTTTATGTTGAAGAAATGTTTTAAATATATGTATGAATTTATGTTTAGTTAAAAGTTATTTATGAGTAGTTTGTAATTATGTATGGAAAATTAAAAGTGTAGATGGATAATGATGTTTATAAATTATCCAACGATTGATACAAAAAATAACATGAGAATAGAATTACAAAGGTTTTATCGGCTCACTCGATATTTAGGAAGATGTGGACAATGCTTCCTGTTGTGGTCATAAAGCTTTGACAAACCTTGCTCTCGTTCAGGATCATCCATATCAGTATGAACTTGACTAGATTCAGGTTGACTCTTCAACTTCCTTCGTAATTGTGGATTTGACAAACATTCTTCAGAAATTGTTGGTGGTCAATAAGCATCGTTTGAGAGATACTTAAACTCACAGTTGTATATGTTGCGTATAATATGCATGCTATAAAATCATCAACATACGAGTATGAGTCAACATTAACATGCATGCATGCATCAATAGTGTTACACCCTAATCCAGTCCGACCCGAAGATCCATGGATTACGATGTCACACGGGACCACCAAAATGGCTAACCCAAAAATTTCTTTACAATGTCTGTTAGACTTTACGTAAAATATACCTCAAGTAAAATAAAATAAAACGTCATAGTGTGAGTTTACAAAATATGGGGAGCTCTCAAATCATCCATACTAAATATATTGTGTTAAAAAACAAAATAGAGTTACATTTGAATACAAATGGGTCTACAATAATACATATCCTCTATAATAATAATCAAGATGTACTATGAAGTCTCTGCTGAGCAAGACTGCTGGCAACGATAATAATCCTCAACCTGTACATGGAAACACATTATGAACGTTGAGCTTACAAGCTCAATGCCTCACTAATAATTGTATTATACTACATTCGTTCACTAAATATGAATGCTAGTGGCACATGTATAAAGACATGGAATTACTCATCTAACATGCTGATGTAGGCGTCATGGTGCGGCTGAGGGTTCTGTATCTCGGAGCTCACACACCCATCTAGTCTTCCTATATACCCTTGGGTATCTAGGGTGAGATTCGAAACTGCATCAGAAACGTACACCTGGCCAACTTACTCCGTCAAGTCTTGGGGCATCTACGTCTAACTCGCAGCTAAGTGCCTTAGCACTGATTGGGATATCCAACTGTACGATCGTATCTGCTAAAGTAACTCGAGTGTCCTAATTGTGTCCCGAGCGTCAAACAAGGCCAGTTTTATGTCATCCTAACTATTATTGTTTCTAAATGTTCTGAGTTTATTACTGTTCACGCTTGTAGTTTTATTTCATGATGTTTTGGTGTTATTGGGTCCCTCACTTCTAACCCTTAAAGCCCTTAGGTTTCTTACCCAAAAATGTTCGTGGGTACCAATACTAAGCTCTTCAGTATCGATAATAGCCTCTATGTATCAATATTGTTAACTTACTAAATGTTGATAACAAAAAGTTGGCATCGATACTCCTTCTTGAGTATTGATACTTTTGGTTTGTGGTATCGATATTTTCCTAATTACCGATACCAATTTTAGCTTCGATGTTTTAAAAAATACCTAAGTATCGATACCCCTATTGGAGAGTATCAGAACTCTACCCTTGGTATTGATACTTTCATGAATATCAATACGAATTTGGCTACTAGAATCTGCTAAGTGAACTCAGTATCGATACACCCATGCGAGTGTCGATACCTCACATATAATATCGATACCCATTGCATGAGTATCAATACTTTTAGCCCAAACCCTTTAGTTATTAACACCTGAAGAACAATATCAGTATTGTTCTTCTAGTATCGATACTTATGCCCAGAAATATCCTATTTTTGGCACAAAAATGTCTCCCCAACACTCTCAAACACTCTGTCGAGGTCCTCAAATATTATTAAAGAGTTATGTATGAATGTAGGGGTCATAAAGAGTCCATAAACATAATGGAAAACACTGATTTCTGAATCCTACCATGAACATGTTTCATAACTCATGCAACCTACCAAAACACATCTAATGACCTGCATGTGGTATAGTTGAGTTAGAAGTGAGTTACTTGGGATTCCTAAGCTACTGGAAACACCCAAAGTTCAACCAAGAGTGAGATTCTCCTTTCTCCTATCTTTGGAGCTTTCTCTAACTTCTCTAACTAGACAAGAATCAAGCATAAGTGTTACTAACGTTTTTGGGAAACTTAGAAAGGAGTTTAGAACCTTTCTCGAGACTTAGAAAGCAGTCTAAACCCCTACTAAAACCCATATTTTTTATACCATGAAGAAATAAGGAGAGTGAAGGCTTGAATCGAAGCTTTAAAGATGAAGATTATGATTCTTACCTTAAAAAATGTCGATAACTCAAACATGAAACAAAAGTTCTAAGTTTTCTTTTAATTTTCTGCTTCATGTGGCGATAAGATACATCTACTAAAAATATCATGTTTATGGGCCTCTTTGACTTAAACACAACACCATCACCAATTTGTAAACTTTGGTCATTTGAATGGACAATTGAGAAAATTTTGTTAGCCATTGCTTGAGAAAAGTTTCTGGTACTTCAATGAAGTTATATAAAGTAGAAGTTTTGTACAGATTCTCATAACATAAGCAAATTTAAAAGAAAAGAGAGCTATCATCAATGACCATTCAATTCAGTGACAGAATTTTTTTTAGTGATATATCATTATTTTTAGTCATATATCATTTCATTTTAGAAACTTTTAAAAAAACGAGCTATCATCAATGACTATTTAATATGTTATTTTCTCGTATACCATTTAATACACAAAGACAATAACTTTTCAATGGTCAATTACTTCACATCAGACACTTTTCATTGATATATCACTTCATTTCAAAAAACGTTATTTTCTCATACACCAATTAATACACAATGACAACAAATTTTCAGTGCTCAGTCACTTCATTACAGAAACTTTTCAGTGATATATCACTTCATTTCACTATTACATCAGACAATGACAGATATATAATGTAGTTTTTCATAAACATATGTTGTTGTTATATCAGTTCGTCCCGAGGGCCTATAAATATGTGTGAGGTGAAACAAAAAACATGTTAGCAGAATTGAGTCTTTCACTTCCAAAACTTGACTTTTTTCCCTAACATGACTACTTTTCTTGCAATTGTTTTTTATGATTGTAAATTTTTAACCATGTCTTTCAAAAAAACATTCAACTAAACGAGTTGAAGTTCAAAATAGAAAGAAGTGTTCAACTCGGAAGCAATAGAATAATATCTTCATTATATTATAAATTTTTACTATAATGCACAAGGTTTCACCTAAGTGATGATGTCGATCTTGCTAGTATGATTTCGACATACTATTATCATTCTATGTCTAATGTCGATTTGTTTGTAGAGTTCGTTGATGTTGACCTTTCTCATATGGTTAAGGATGCTGCTTCCAGCTCGAATATTCCACCAACTAAGAATAATGATGAAGAAACAGAGGTAGATGATGGAGACCCCTAAGCATGGTTCCAACTTGTACATGAACGCCAACACGAAAAATCATGGAGAATTGAAGAACTTAATTTACTTCTATCGAGTCTACTGATTATTAGGATTAAAACATCATAAAGAATAGTCGTATGTTTATAATTTTATTTTATTGTTTAAGGTGTGTGCAATATTTGTTGTATTTATGTCCTTAACATAATGTGTTAATTTTGTTGTTTTTATCTTCTTAATGTAATGTTCTTTTTATCTATTTCAGTGCCCAATCACATCATTTAATACTTCAAACTAAATAAAACCTCAAAGCATTTAATACTTTGAACTAAATAAAACATCAGTACGAGTTTCATTTTTTTACTTTTTTTAAAAATCTTTATAACAAAAAAAATATTATTTTAATAAAATTCGTCACATCGACATAATGAGTTTTAAGAAAAATAATTAAATATTGATATGTCGATTAAAAAATAATTTTTATTGGAACTCGTCACTTCGATGTGACGAGTTCTAAGAACATTGTAGCAAATGTTGTAGATCCCAAAATAAACTTCAACACGCTCTATTAAACTAATTAATTAAAAATATTTTTCCTATTTGGCCAAAAATGCCCTCACTCTGCTCTAATTGGGCTTCGCTTCAGTTGATCCTTGGACAGAGTTCTTTAAATCCAATGCTATTTATAATAAGGGTGGTTATAGATTGGTTCGGGTTTTTAGTTAATTCAAATTTAATTAAAGTACAATATAGCTCTACTTGTCACCTCATCTGGATTTGGAAAAGATTCATCCGACTCAAGTTTCAACTCGATTTTTAAGATAGAAATTCATACCCGACTCAACCAGACACACACATATAATTTCCATTTTTACTAAGTAAAATAAATACCTAATTAAAAATATAAAGAAATGGATATTATAGCAATTATTATATAAAAATATATAAAAATTAATTATACTATTATTTTCAAGTCGGATTTAATATTTTTTTACTTTAAACTCAAACTCTTCCCTATCTATAATACATGGGCTCCAAATTTGTGTTTCCCAGTTTGGGCCAGACAGTTTTCTTTTAATCCAAAGCTATTTTTTTTATTAATCTAAGAGGTTCACAAGTTGTAATTATTTGATAAAAGACGCTTAAATATTTTGCGGTCTTTAGTGTTCGAATTTGAAACATCTATGAATAATAATCATTTATTTAATCACTGAAATAACTTAGTTCGTGCAATCCAATGCTATTTATAATTTCATTAACATTACTTGCTACTGCCAGTACATCACGAGGAAATTGTTGAAACAGATAACGAAGAAAGGAACAGCGTCTTGTCTTCTATGATCCGCCAAAAAGAACAATGTTGCTAATGATTCAGAACCAAAATATAACACTACTTAGCAGCAAATTTCAAGACGTTCATACTGTCTGTGAAAACAGGCCATGTGAAAAATACCATCTGGTAAGGTAACCGGCAAGTAGTAGTATGTCATATTTATTAACTAGATGATTAAAACAAAGCGATTTACAGATGACAGACAGCATTTCCTTAAAAAGTTGAAGCTGGCTTCTCTGAAGAAAGCAATTCCCGCACCGCCTCCAAGTCAGGAAGAACAATAGCACCCGATTTTCTCCACTCCTCGGCATCGGGAGTTTTGAACCTATCCAATAACAAGGCATTCATCCCCACACTCCTTGCTGGGACATAGTCTTTGCGCAAACTGTCACCGACGTGCAGAGTCTCTTCTGCTGCAATATTTCCAGCCCTCTCAAGCGCAATCTCGTAAATCCGCGGGTTTGGTTTCTCTACACCTTCAAGACCAGAGAACACACCAAAGTCCCACTCCGATCCCTAAAACACCATGCAGACGTGAGTTTCAATTACAAACATCAGATTAAATTATCAAACCAAAATCAACAAACGAAAAAATATCATCAGCATTATGTTGCAGCGGAACAAGCAAACTATCCCATATTTTTTAAGTACACATAGAGATTTGCAGCGTCATACTACTTCCAAGATTTACAAATGCACGCTTACCTAACCAACCGTTTCAACCATGAAAACAAATAAGTCAACAAGGTTTCAAACCCATGAACGATCAAACTAATTTCCTCATAAACTAGATAAAAAAAATACATAAGCATAATAAGAATTGCAGTCCAAGAATATGCTATCAATCCAACTTTACCTGGTTCAAACCCAAGGCTGGAAGAATCACATCTTGATATCGATATTCAGCGTTGCTTATGATCCCCACTTTAAGACCCTTCTCACGAGCCCATCTCAGGAAGGGTTGGGAGTCTGGAAATACCGTATATGGTGCAGATGAGCCGAAGGAAGCATAGATGCGTCTAAATATCTTCTCAAATGTCTCCTCATCATACTCATATCCTGCCTGTTAGCGAAATAAGACTAATGTCATAACAAGTGATCTCTCTCTCTTCACTCTGTATAGGTACATATGCAATGGCAGTATGAAATAACTCCTTCGATAGCATTATCTTACCCTGACAAATGAATCCCTAACACAAGTTTTCCACCATACAATGTTCGGCATTTTTGCTGCAAACCCAAAACATGGATACTTCTTTGCCATCTCTGTGTATGCAAGCTTGAAACCTTCATGCACTCGTTTATAGTCAGGGCATGGCATTCCAGCAGATTTTGCTGCCATGCAGTAGTAATCACCAAGCTGCCCTTTATAAGCTATGAGGGTCCCAGTGACATCCACAGTGATACATCGTAGTCTGGATAAAAGGGACATTGCAAAAGCAATTGTGCACAAGGTTTTCAGAATTGACCAAAGCCAATAATGCAAATAAAGAAGGTATTGGTACTTAAAGGATCTTTAAGTAATTTTTGATGTAACAGATTGGCCCAATCCTCAATCAATCTTCACAACTGCATAATTCAACAAAATGTGGTTATCATTAGCAGCAAAAGTTTGAAATCATAATGCAACACGAACAATAAAACATTGAAATATGATCACAATCCCATAATCAACCATAGTTTAATAAAACTGTGAAACAGTTGGCAAGAAAAAATTACACAAAGAATGAGTTATATTCTTTACTTCGCTTATGATGATTTTCGCAATAGGATAATCTCACATGAAGTTTGACATAATGAACTGTTGAGAACAAAGAAGACCTAGTGCAAAAGGTTTTCGAGTAGGGAAACAATTGAATCGACAATTAAAGTCCAAACAAGACTTGAAATGACAATTGCAGATCACTGACAACTATCACTGATCTCCAGAGATTTATTGCAGGAACAATTTATCTATTAGACTTCTTCAATAGCAGGGAGAACACTATGCAATGTAATATTCAAACGATTCAATTGTTTACATAGGTATGAATAATGGGTGGTAATTGATCAATTACATAGGTATGAAATGCCTAAAATGTGCAAACAAAAATTATTGGCAAATGACATTAATCTCAACCATAGTCCAAAGATTAAGAAGCTCTCTTCAATTTAGTCTCTAGCATCCGAGTAACTTTGAAAGACCTTGTGAAAAACTAGAACTATCTACACTAGTCCTTGGCATAATAAAAGTGATACATTAAGAGACCAGAATCCTACCATAAAGAAAACACTGCTAGCTCTAAAATTTAAACAGTGGTGATCTTTTTATGGCAAGAATATCGTAAAGAAATCTCGAATAATTTATTTTAGGCTACAAATATGAACATGATTACATTATTTGCTATACTCTTAAAAGATTAATCCACTTCCTCTATCCAATGACCTGGAATTGCAAAGGGTTAGTTGAATCAGCATCGAGCAAAAAATAAAGATCAACTCTTAACATGTAAAATCAATATACTCAGCAAAACAGAAAATGTGGGGGGAAATCCAATCAATAACTTAAATAGAGCAAATAAAGACCTTTTTTAATAGAGCAAATAAAGACTTATGTCCGCCATAAGGGAACAATCATGAGAAATATTGGAACCAACATAAGCAACTCTGACCCTTGAACAACAATGCAAATACCCAAATCTTCAGCAAGATTTGATTCCCCCCCCCCCGACAAAAAATTATTATGCCATAAGAAAAGAATACCGTTTGATCCGAAGATGGAAAAGGGGGAAATTCCAACAGCATGCGTTTGGTGAGTAAAAGATTAATAGCAACAGAAATGGGTTTAGATTCAAAAAAAATGAAGCGTTGAAAAAAGAAAACGCAATCTCAATGGGGAATTACAGAAAAAAAATAAAAGAGGTTTAGATACCCATAAGGAGACATGAAGCAGAATCTGGATGTATAATAGAAAACAGGGCTGAAATCGGCAATCGCCAGTGTCTTGTTGTGGTATCAGCTTCTCCTCAACTAAATTTCATCACTAATCGCATGGCGCAAAAAAGAGCATGCGCCTTTTCCAAGTTCTTACGTTTTATTAATGTCGAGAATTTATTTATTATTTTATTGTTTCGGAAATTGTTTAACTAATTTTATGACACTAATTTTCGTATGGAGTTATTTTATTTATATATATATACATATATATATATATATGTATATAGTAATATAGTTTGTGAAAATATTTTTAAAAAAAATATAATATATAATTTTCAGAAAATAATTTTTAAAAATTTATATATTATATAGTTTTTAAAAATATTTTTAAAATATATAATTTTGAAAATATTTTGAAAACATTTATATATTGTATAATTTAAAACATTTTGAAAATTTATATAGTATATAAATTTTAAAAAAATTTGAAAAATTATATAATATATAGCTTTAAAAACTGAAAAATTATATAATTTATTGTTTTAAAAAAAATTGGAAAAATTATATAATATATAATTTTAAATTTTAAAAACATTTTTGAAAAATTATATAATATATAATTTTAAAAAACATTTTTTCTGAAAACTTATATAATATTTTAAAATAAATTTTGAAAACTATATAATATATAGTTTTGGAAATTTTTTAATATAATATATAATTTACAAAAAGTTTTTGAAATATATATATTATAAAATTTAGGATATATTATTATTTATTATTATTATTTATTATTATCATCATTATTTATTTTTATTTTTTGTTTTTTTCCGTTTCAGGTCCAAATGGGTCTGTTGGGTCCAATCACAGTCCAAAGGGTCTTAGGACCTGAACCAATCCAACAGCAAGGTTAGGTTTGGGGTTTAAAAACCCTAAATGATATCAATCAACACAGCACCGCACAAGCCAAGGAAACCAGGCGGTCAAACGGTGCACCGGTCGGCCGGGAAAACCGGGACTGCACCATCCCAATAATCCTGACCATGTGAACATTGAGGGGAACAGTCCCATTATCATCAGAAACGACCTTCACTGAGGGGTTATAAATACCCCGGTGAGGCCATGCAAAAGGGAACGATCATCGATCACAGAACCGGAAAACGAACATACCAACACATCTACACACAGAGAAACACCAAACAGAAACCACTGTACCAACATGGCCACAGAAACCATCAACATCGAGAGAACCCAAGAGATATCAACAAACCCACATCAAATACAAAAACATCACAGTAATACAAACATTGAACCACAAAAACAAACCACGTCAAAGCCAAAACAAAACCCAAAACCAAAACAAAAAATCATTCGAAACCCATAAGCAGAAAAATAAGCAAACTATCATTTCGTTCGTCGGAAACGTCGGAACCAAAGAGCCACCGGGAAGCTGAAAAGACAAAACATCGAAGGTAAAAGATCTGATCTTTGGGGGTAGATCTACACTGCTTGGGGCTATTTTTTGTAATTTTGGCTTTGAAATCGGGTTTAGGGTATAAAGGGGAGTGTTTGGGCAAGTTTGATTTTTTTCGGCCGCCGGAGGTGGCGGTCAGTGGTGGCCCTATGGCCGGTCACTCCCTCCGGTGGAGGCTGGCTAGAGAGAGACGAGAGAAATTTATTATCTCATTTTGGTAGAGAGAAGGAACCAAATGTGCAAATGAGGCTTTGGGTGAGTTTGTCCCTTGTTTTGGGCTTTATATAATCCCACGAAACGACGTAGTTTCGATGGGGAGCGGTTCGTAATTTTACTTGGGGGATAATGTCATCTAGGGTCCCTCATCCTTTGTACCGTTATTTTCTAGCCACAGATTAAACTTTTAATTTATTTTATTTTGAGCATCGATGTTTCCATACTTTTATTTTAGTCTGACTCTTATTTGTTTTATTAATTTCATTAGGATTCGAGTTTGGGTATTATATTTGCTAGTATTTTACTTTACTCACTATCTCGTTTTGGTTTAAATATCATTTGGTCCTACAAGTTTTAAGGGTATTTACATTTTAGTCCTATTTTTATGTTGTATGTTTTTTTGTGTGTTAATATTCCAATTTGGCCCTCTGAATTTTATTTTTATCTTATCTTTTTTTTTCATATTATTTTTATTTCATTTAACATTTTTTTGACATTTTCATATTTTTATTTTATTTATTTTTTTATCCCTTTGATTTACTACTTTATTTTTGTTTTTTAATACTCTTTTTATTTATATTTTTTTATTTATATATTTTTTATTTTGTTCTCTCTTTTGATTTATCATTTTGGTATTTCTTATTTAATATTTGTTTCATTTAACCTTTTTCGACCTTTTTTTAGAAGTACTCCAACCAATCAAAGGTAAGCAATTCGAATCAAATTTTTAAATTTTAATTTTCGCAATTAAAGACAACCAATAAATTAATTGGTACCGAAAGGGCGGTTCAAGGGTGCTAATCCTTCATTGACCGTAACCAACTCCCGAACCCGACACGTTTCTGGTAAAACACAGATCATATAAGATGGTGTTCGATCCACCTAAATGTTTTTAAAATGATTGGTGGTGACTCTAACCCAATCAATTCACGTCGAAGCCCAATTCAGGGCCCAACGAAAAGATGGTCGCGACAGCTTGGCGACATGTAAGTGAGTCAGGCTGAAATTAATTTCGGTTGTCTTTTTTAGCGAAAGTTATAAATTTAAATTTTAATGTGTTTATTCGATTCTAATTATTTACCTTTGATTATTTTTCAAGTAAATAAGTGTACTGACTTTCTTCCAATGATTTCAGATTTTGAAAATTTTCATCTCAAGCTCTATACTCGAGCTCCAAACCCTGTTTAAGTGGGGGTAAAAGCGACGCCTTCGTGTGAATTTATTCACAGTGCGGACCTATCAAGTAGCCTTCGGGATTCATATACCTTATGTCTTCATGTGAATTTATTCACCGTGCGGGCATAAGGGAATGTATCCTCTCGAGTTTAACTTAGTCCACATGAGCTTGTAATGGGCTTAGGACTAAGGGTCTGGCAAGCCCAAGGGGCACCAGCAAGGAGAACTCGAGTACCTTTTAGAACCTAAATCGGTAGAGTACAGGGAATTAGAGCCCACCCCAAAACCTCATTCCAAACCTTAGGATGATTTGTTTCCTACTTTACTTTATGTTCAAAGTATGTGAACTAGACAAATATGCGGTTAGGATTTGTTTGAAATTAGCATGCGTGATAAAGATCATGTCCGGGTAAGAATTAAAGCATGTGGGGTAGATATCATATGGGGTAGGATTTTTCATTTTTATTATTGTTTTGATTTACCTCACTAACTTTTTTATTTTTTCTCTTTTATTTTGTTTTCATCATTCGCATTATTTAAAAGAGGTGTTGATCCACCAAAAACATGTTTGTTAAACATGAATAACCTGCATTAATGGACAAAGGGGTTATAATACAAAGAGATTAAAAGCTTAGAAGCCCAGCCGTGGTCAAAGAATACTCAGAGGCAAAGATTGCAAGGGGCAAGACGAGGAAAATGTTACTGACCCAGAGATTCCTTTCGGAAACTAAGAGAACAAGATGGCGAAACCCTAGCTAAGCTGGAGACCATTATTGACGAATTCCATAAACAAGTCGATAAACTTCAGATGGAGGGCTCCGTTGGCACTTTCGTTTGGAACAAGCTTGGCATAGAGTGAAAGCTGAAGATGCAGTCATTCGAGACCTTTTTAGGGCAAGCAACTCGTCACCTGCACAAGTTTAGCCAAAGGAACCAGAATGGTTCGACAGGATATTCAAGCGGTGAAAAAAGGCGGAAGACGAATCAACTTGTCAGAAGCTGTGCGGGATCTATACCATCAAAAAGTTTTTTTTCTCTTCAAACGTAACACTTTTGTCCCCAATAAGGATTATTCAGAATAACATGCACATTTTTGGATCAATGCCTCGAACATTTCATGCATATTTCACATAATTTTCTTTTTTTCATTGCATTCATATGAACTAACAAAAGATTTTCATAACAGAAGGGTATAAATACTGGACATACCTCTACAAGCTTCGGACACGTGCCATCCTCATTCAAACTGAAAAGAAGATGAAAGCCATAATTATTCAGATCAAAGAGAACATGTTGAAGCTCCAGAGAGATTTAGAAGAAAAGATAAATCAGAATAGCCAGAGTACCCTAGATGCAATCACGAAAGGCCAAGAGTCCTTGGTCAATTAGATCGTTGCCAAGTTAGTTGGCCTAAGTCAGACAAGTGATCTTAGGGCAGGCTCATCGGAAGGGGTAACCATGCCACCTATCCCGCAAGTGGTTGTCTCACCCAGAATCTTACCAAGACTTTAAGATAATTCGTATAGTTATCGCATTCTAAAATTTGATAAAGAGGTCAAAACAACGAGGGTAAAAATTACCATTAAACCAGGAGATAGGACGAGTGGAAAGCCTCTTCTGAAGAAGAAAGAAA